TGTGATGGACATATCACTGAATGATAAATAAAAATAGTCTCCAATAACACCCATGAAAAGACATTATTCTCCTGGGATGTACACATAAGAAAACTTAAACAGGGTGAACTACTTGCCTAAAGCCTCACACAAGTTGGATTCTAAAGACTTTTCTTTATCCTCCATGTTATCTCTAGTTTTCTTTGTTTAGGTTTTTGATTTATCTGGAAGCCACTTGGAAGTTATCAAATCAATAACTGGTGACCATGATCATCAATTCTAAACTTCAAATAAAAAAAAACTATTTCCTCTTTGCTACAGCCCCAGAACACCCTTTTCCTATAGGCTGACTAACCTTCATGTCAGACTTATACAGATCACACCAAGGCACTTAGCCTAAAACCAAACCTGCTTCTTTCTTTTTCCTATCTCCATAACTCCCCTAAGTATGCAATCTCTCTCTCTCTCTCTCTCTCTCTCTCTCTCTCTCTCTCTCTCTCTCTCTCTCTCTCTCTCTCCATTCTTATAAAATGCAGTGAACTTCTGGTAAAATGTGACAATTAGTATGAAAAATAATGACATTTAATAATCACAACACTAGCAAAGATTATTATAGGCTGATTATAATGGTAAAGTACACCTTCAAATCATTAACTACTCATGTATTATATTTTTTTTATCCTGTGATTTACTAACTCATCCGATCCTCATGGTCACCTTTGGATAAAACACTACTATGAGCTCCAAATTGAAAATGTGAAAATTGAATTTCAGAAAAATTTGGCAGTTCATTTAGCCCCAGAGATAGGATTAGAATCCAAGAATTCTGAATTTTGGTCTCTTATTCTAAACAAGTACATGTATAACCTTCAGAAGCTAGATAATAACATATTCCATAGAAGAGCATGGCTTACTTAAGAGAAGCACTTAGTAATCTGTTGTCAAGCAAGTTATTTTCCTTAACTAAACAGGATAAAAATGTTCATTTTTGGCATTAGCTTGAACAGGAGACAATGACAATTGTAAGACTATGTGTTGCAACATCAAAGTAAATTAAGGATAATTTTTTTTCATTAAGGATAATTTCATTTCATTTCATCAAGTTCAATTGGTGACTGAAACTCTTTAAATTAATACTACTGGAAATTAGAAAGGTAAATAGTATTTAATCTGCATTTACTACGAAAAATATTTAAACATTTATTATATCATTCTATATGCAGTTTCTCTCGAAAAGTACATACTACTTGCCCTGGTTTTATATACAAAGATACTGAAGTACTAAGAAGAATTTTCCATAGTTACAAATGAATAAATTCACTTGGGTATTATTTAACAAGAAAGAGATCTATAACTCTAGGTTCAGCCCTGATAGTTACTTCTCAAAATATTTAACTCTGACTAAAGCTATCTCTTGTTACATATATACTAAGTTTCCATGAAAAGTTAAGCATGAATCACACTCAAATTCCTGTCTCTCCACCCATTTGTGTTATCATTTTTAAAATGCCTTCTTATCAATAATTTCTTCTCCCCCAAATTCTGCTTTTGTTCATCTGCCATTCAGTTTTTGAAACCACTAATGATTCATTAAAATAGCAGCATAAATGCTATGGTGTCCACCATTTTTTGGTCACCCCTGCTAAATTTAGAAGCCATTTAACTTAATATTTACAATTCAGTTGCTATGCAAATATGGATTTGCATACATTATTCTTTTTTGTTGTTCTTTTTAGTTATACATGACATGGTTTGCATGAATTTTGCTTTTTAAATAGTGAGATCATTCTTGCATCATTTAACAGCACCTTGGCAAGTGGAATTAGAATATAGATAGATAGATAGATAGATAGATAGATAGATAGATAGATAGATAGATAGATAAAATTCCTCATGACTTAGAAGACAGAAGGTGTCTACCATTATTTTCTTTAAGGAGCACTTACTGGAAAATTTAGCTTTCTTTGATCTTCTATGTTTACCCTAAAGGATTTTAAACTTTTGGGTAAAATTGGCAAAGAGTTCCATAACTCCTTTTTAATGAGTTGAAAGGCACTCACTTGTTCATTAAAGGAAGTTTGTTTTTTATTCCTCAGAAGATATGTACATTTCTTTGAATTATCCAATGGCTAGAAAGCTGATTATTTTCATCTTAAATTTGCCCTGCATTTAAAGCAAAAATACCTTAAGCTACATGAAGACATTTACTGATATTTTCTTACAAGAGTGTTTTCATTTACTCTGAAAACTTGGTAGTGAAAAACAATAGAAATTTATTCGATTTCCAGAAGCCAAAAGTACAAGATAAGTTTCACTGACCTAAATTCAAGGTGTCAACAGTGCTGATTCTCTCTGGAGTCTCTAGGGGAAATCCATCTTGGTCTCCCCAAGCAACTCAAGGTCATTAGGACTCCTTATCTTGTGGTTGTTCCACTCCACCTCTGCTTTTGTTGCCCCTCTCTCTCTCTCTCTCTCTCTCTCTCTCTCTTTTCTCCTGCCTCTTGCTTAAAAGGACCCCTATGATCACACCAGTCACATCTGGACAAACAATCTTAGAATCCTTAATTTTATCACATCTGCAAAGTCCCTTTTGCTATATCAGGTGACAGATTCTCAGTGGAAGAAAGTGGGCATTTTGGTTTGGCTCACAGGTGGTATTAATCAGCCTTCCATATATGGCAAATGCTAAAAACTACATAATTCATGGAAAGGATGATACTTGTAGTAATTAAATGAAAATAGAATAATGCATATGATTGTCCAAATCTTCCAGAAGACAATGCCACATGAATGACACTAATCCTTACTTTCGGCTAAAGCATGCCCTCATTATAACCCTGATATTTGCTCTGCTACTTATGCTGTCTGCTCTGTCTCTTCCAAAGATGGAAAGTAAAGTCGAAGATAACTTATAAATGCATCAAGTACCGAAAATGGTGGACCCAAATGGAGGTGGGAGGTGGTTACATGGAAGTGTGATATTCTGAGAACGAAGAAAACATAAAAGTAAATGAGATAATTTGAGTGGACTTTGACTTTGCAAATCTCAGTGTATCATTGCTAAGAATGTTAGCAGGTAAAAATAAACTTTCACATGTTGCAAAATATCATGCTTTGAATGTTGGCTATGGCACATGTTATACAACTTTATTTTGCTGTAGTTACACTGTGTAATATTAATTTAAAATATTTTCTCTTTAATTTTCAGATGAAAGTGCAGTATGTTCTGTTTGCATTTAGAAGACTTACTTATCCTGTTCTTGTCCTCCTTGAACCTGCTACAATGAAGCCAAAAAATAAAAGACTAGAAATAACAGGGTTATGATAGACAGATGTAGAACTAAAGTTCTATCAACATCTGGACTTTTCTATATGTCAATGGGGTTCAGTAACTCACTAGAAAGTTGGTTATCAAGTGCCTTATGCATCTTATTTGCTATTCTGCCTACCCCAGGAATGAAATTTGCTGCACAAAATTGAGGGATCTCTATAGCCAATTTAATAAAAATGGGGATTTATTATCTCTACCTTTTTTTACCAGAGAGAAATTCCAGAATCTAACAAAATATACTTAATATAGAAGTTTTTATTGCCACTTTTTAGAATAAATACTTAGAGAAATACAAAAAAAATATCAGATAAAAAAGGTTTAGAGAATACCTTTAGGATCAAATTGGTGTACATTTTAAAAATCTAGCTGCAGAGAATAAAAATCTAGCAGAGAATAAACAAGGGATATCTAATTGTCTCCTATGAGAACAATGTCTTTTAAAAACTATCCCATAGCTTATCCTACCCAAAGAAACCAGCACTATCCTCTGTGTGAACTCATCACTGTTAATAAATGTAATGTTGTTTCCAATTCAGTGGAGGCTGAGCTATGGATTATAGTTTATGTTTCAAGAACAAAATGTCAGTTCTTCAATTTAAATTAAAATCATATTTTTTTACTTTAGCCTCCACTCTACAGAGTGAGAAGTGCTTTTTAAAATGTGCAGAGCCTATAGGAACAATATAGATTACTCAAAGAAAAATTTGAAAACTGGTTATTCCCTTTTGTTAGTAACAACTAAAAATAAGTGCAACCCAAGGAAAATGTAACATCTATGTGCAAAAGAAAGCAAATCAAGAAAAAGTAAAACTTACTTGGGGAAGAATGTTCTACATCTGACAGCATTTGAGCTTTAGAGCAGAGACAAGAGAGGGCAGATATATAATCGTAGTCAATTAAGAAGGTACAATACTGAGAAACTGGATTTCTTTGATACTCACAGTGTAAAAATTCTTTAAGAAAGGAATTTCATAGATGGCTTGGTTGCTTAGCAACCACTGACCCAAGGGGACAAGTTCATTTTTAGTTTGGTATAAGTCACTGGGTCTCTCTGGGATTGCTGTGAATCTTACACATGGAATTCTCCAAACACATCAGATGAGAAGTTGTCACCAGTTTGCATCCTGATACAGGTGAGAGTGCAGCAGGGGAAATTGATCATTTTTCTTCATACATCATTGTCTTACCCTTCCTTGGGAGGAACAGTGTTTAGACAGGCAAACCATCCAGTTCATTTCAGAGTGTTGGGATCAAAACCCTGCCGTATTTTTACACTAATAAAAAGACTGAAAAAATACAGGCCTCTTGCTTTATTGAATCCTTGTTAACCTTTTAATAATCATGTTGCTGAAGTCCATGGATACGTGAACTCTCTTTAACCACTGATTGACAGGTGAGGGTTTGCATTAACATTGAGACCACAATTGACTGAAGCATGGCCTCCAGATGATGAGTGATGTGTGATAGTTAAAGTGGTGATGATGAATACCTTCCAGGATCAAAATAAACTTATTTTTGTATAAGCATGAAGACATTAACAGCTGTGGATAAACAACACACTAATGAGATGTTGCTGGATTATTATTGTCCCAGACAGAGAGAAGGAAGAGACTGAAAAGGCTCTCAGCAATCTCCTGGGAAGATATAAAGAGTCCTTCAGTCTCAGCCACAACACATTTGCATGAACACCACTGAGCACGCACTCCGACTCCATGTCTCTTATGGGCTATCCTGGGCTTTGCAATGCCACATCTCACAGGACTCATTGTTACATCCCAGTGACTTCTGTTGCTCTTTGCTCCAGTGATGTAAACTCTACCTTTGGACACTGTTTACCCAGTAACTACCAAGGCAATCTCTGGCTCCTGGACCACTGCCAAGAATCCTACTGTGAAGTGCCAAACTTTGAATCTCCCAGCTGTGAGCCCAAGACCTGTACCACAGATTGTGACTCCACAAACTCCTGTGTGCCCTGCAACTCCCCATCCACAGGCCAAGTCGTCGGTGCCTGTGAAACTACCAACATCAAATCTGGCCCCAGCTGCAGCCCATGTACTTGGACCAAGGGGTACGTATCCAATTGCTACAGGCCTGCTGGATATCCTTCCAGAGCTTGCCACACACTCCTGGATGGCTCCAACTGCTTTGGGCAACTCAACTATTTACCTAAGAATTTCCGCCCTTTAAACAGCTACAGCCAGCTGGGTAGTTTGAAGTATAGAAGCTACCAAGATTCTGGTTTCATCTCCAGGGGCTTCTCACCATCATGTTATATTGCCAGCAGCTACCAACCCCTAAGTTCTTTAATGAGAAATTGCCAGTATCCAAATTATGGGTCTATGAGTTACCGACCACTGAGCTATTTATCTAGAAACTTCCGATCTCTGAGCTGTATACCCAGTACCTTTCCACCTCTGAGGTATTTATGCAGTGGCAGCAGACCTTTGAATTGCTATTGACCAACTTAAAGCATTTAAATGAGCTAGAATTTGCCCAATAGGGCACATTCTACTAAGTTGTAGGATCTCTGAAATGTAGAATCCTTAGTATTCTGCTGAATCACTTTATATATCTCAAGAAGTTTGTCACTTTAACTTCAAATGGAATAGAACCACAGCCATTACTATGGGTAGATTTTTTTTTCTGTTGCTTTGTTAATCCTCTTTGTGTTAAAAGCTTATTCTCTGGATAAAGTTATCTAAGACATACCATAATGGACTTACTGAAGAGAGTTCACATGAAATACAACCATCAATCACCAGCTTTCTTACTTTGGTTCCAACTACCACATACCTGCCAATGCGACTATCACCAAACTTGTCTTCATTACGTGGGGTTTCCTTGGTTTGGTGGTTGATTTCAGAGCACAATTTCTTTCAGATGGTTTTGCTTTTCCTCAACAGTCTTGTCTATGGCTTAACAAGCATCTTGCTTGTGAACTGAGAGAGAGCATTATCTTAAACGTATTGAGTGGGACCATAACTTCCTTTCCCTACTAATGGCTTATAAAGATGAGCAAATAACAGTGGCCAACTTGAGCTCAAATACAGAAGAATTCAAGAAATCTTCTCCGAAGAAGCCATCAAACACAGGATTGGCTGGCACTTGGTTTTTTTCCTCAATGCCTGGGAGAAAGCCTCAGAAGTGATTGAAGCACGAAAGTTATTTGTGAAAACAATGACAGAACACTGTGGTAGACTCTTTAAAGTTAGTGTTGGACTATGTTCAGGATTCTCTTCTAATCCTGCCCTGCTGAATGACTGCATCCTGATTCTGGAAAAGGTCTGGGCTCTTGATTCATAAATAAATTTCTAACTAGAAACGATGACTTTTCTTGTGCCTTATTTCACATTCACTAATGTTTTATTCATGTTCTGGAAAGAAATGTTTGATATTGTCAAATGTTATTTTCTTGTCATTATTTGTCTAAATTAAAAATACGAAGAAGGTTAAATATGAGGTTCCAAACTTTTGATTTGTTTGATTTTGTCTCTAACATATTAAATGAATGTATTTCTTATAGAATGTCTGTAATTGATTTTGACATAAAGAAATTGGGGAAATATTTACGAAATAAAACAGTTTAATATAAAGTACTTAAATGTATGTACATTTCTCCAACAAAATATGTGGGTTAATTAATTATGGATACAATTTGGAAAATTAAATAGATTTAATATTGAATCCTGTGAGAAGTGTATAACTTCTACAAAGTTCTTTCCTAAAAAAATGGAAATACAATCATCTTTCTAGGTGGTAAGAACAGGACAATAGATATATTCTAAGTATTTTTGTACATAAAAACAAAATCATGTTTAAAAGCAAATAAAATATTATTTGGAGATGACTATAAGTAGAGATTGGAATAGAAGAGAAGGATCACCAGTATCAATAGTTGAGTATCTAAAACTAAAACTTCAAAAGCAGACACATGGGGCTGTCATTCTATAAATGCAAATACAAAATATAAACACATACTGGTGGTCAATATTTGCTTACTGTGTACAGGAAAGGCTTTAGAAGAAATATTAATGCACTGCTTCTGTTTGAATATGTCTGGGGACAATCAAGACACTCCTTTGTGAGTTCAATCAATTTTCAGAGAATTTTCTGTTTGCTGAAAATTTCTTCTTTATGTTAAGAAAAAAATATTATTGTCCTTAGAAACCATCCATGGACCCTAAAAGACCAGTTCAATTCCTTTACTACAGGACAGGTGCTCAAGTATTTGAAAACAATCACTCTGTATCCCCACTGAGCATTCAGTTGTCCAAACTGAACACACATTCTTCCTCTTTATGGACTCTAATGGGAAGCCCATTCTCTGAGACATTGACTGGGACCCTTTGGGGATGTCAAGATTTATAGATCTTATTTCCAAGAACTATTCAGAGAAGTAATATACTGAAACAAGCACAATACTGTCTCAACCATGCTAAGAATAATATTAAAACTTAAGGGAGAATACTTGGTGATGGAGGTCTTGCCTTGGTGATGAAGGGACAGGGGTGTATGTTCTGGAAGATGGGAAAAGGGAGGCTGAGTGATGGGTGAATTTGACCAGAGGAAAGGAAACAAAATATCACAAGAGGAAAAAAATGGCGAAAAATATAAGACATTTGATCAAGGACTTTGAAAAGGAAGATTTTCTTAAATAAAAACAAGCAAATCAAACAAATTAGCAGTAGCTATAAAATCAAATATTTGTGGATATGGCCATATCAAAACTATGTAATAATGAAATATATGATGAAGACATAAAACAATTGAAAAGATTCTGAAGCTTGTGAACTCTCTGAATTTTCCACTCATTTTTTTCTGTAGATATTAACCCTTAAAAAAATCTATCAATAAAAAAGTAAAATAGACAACAGCACAAAATGAAGAACTCAGAAAAAATATATTCATCATGCAATGTAAAATTATTTTCCAAAATCTTCTAAAAATAAAAAAAATAACTAATGACTCAGTAAAAAATAAATAATATGAGGATTACTAATAAAGTTATCAATAAAAATAATGAAAAACTTCAACCTCATTAGTAATTATAAGTAGAAGATATTATCTTTAACCATTTCATTTGGTAAATATTTTTAAGTTGGTTGTATTTCAATTTAAAACATTCTCACTACTGCAGATGGGAATAGAGTTCAACAAAGCAACTGCATATGTGAATATTTAAATTGCACCTACTCGATGACAAGGCAATTCTGCTTCTCAAAGTCTCCCTAACAGAAACATTCCTTCAAGTTACACAATACAGTTGTTCTGCTTCATCCATGATTTCTTTTTCCTCAGTTTTCATTACCTGCAGTCATTAGTGATCAAAAAAAAAATCTTAAATAGAAAATTCCAGGAGTAAACAATTTGTAACTTTTTAAGTTGTGCATCATTCTGATTAGTATGATGGGCCTCACTCCGATGTGAATCCACTCTTTGTCCATTGTACCCACACAGTATTGCCATCTGCCTGTTAATCATAGTAGCCAAACCTGATCAGCCTATCGGCTATCAAAGCATCATGCGACCTGTGCTTAGGTTTACCTATTCTTTTACTTACTAATGGCTCCAAAGCACAGCAATGGTGATGCTGACAATTGTATTAAAGTGTATGGTTATAATTGTTCTATTTTATTATTAGTTGTTAATCACTGAGTCTAATTTATAGATTAGTTTTTAGCACTGTATGTATATATCAGAAAAACCATAGTAAATATAGGAATGGGCACTACCTGCAGTTTAGGGACTCCTCTGGGGGTCTTGGAATCTATACTCGGTGGGTAAGGGGAAACTACTATATCTATTTCAGACCTCCCTGAAATCCAAAAAGTTAAAACCATAGAAAAGTCTAATACATCAGATCTAAAAATAATAAGAAAAAGTCCACAAGTGGAAGAACACAAAATAATCTGTAATCGAGTCATATTAAGAAGCATTTTACAACAAATAAAAGAGTGGCTAGACCAATATAAATTAAAATGATAAAGGAATATAATAAAACAAAATTTGTAGAAGTACAAAACATGACATTTTATGTATAAACACAAATAAATAAGCATTTCTCTGTGTAATATATATTTGCTGTACTATATTATATTATAATATATAAAATAAATACTCTAAAAAGATACAACCTGAATAAAAAACATGTTAGCTTCAGGTGAGTTTAGAAATGGGGGTTGAAGATTTTGGAAGTGATTTTTAGACCCAACAGTTATGGTTTGGTTACCTATATATTTAAAAAAAAAATTATAAGCAGTCTTGAGAAATAAAGTTGGTTCTGACCTCTGATTTGATAAATTATATAATCAGTGACCTCATCCATTCCTCTCTGAATAAAAATATTGCATAGCAAAATGAAATGAGCATCAGTCCCCTGCACTACTACCTTCTAGGATGAGAATCCATCAACATCTATCCTGTCCAACTTTGGTTAGGCAAAAAACATCTTTAATAAAAGAAATGATATGCCCTTAAATCTAGTGCAAACTAATTTATAAAGCTCAGCTAATTTGTACTTAAGATTATACAAACAAAACTTCACTTCCCTTGAAATTTACTGTACAACTACCCAATGCCTCCTGCCTCCCAAATAAAACAATTGTCCATTCATCATTATACATGAAAAAAATTATATATGAGGGAAAAATCCCCTTACAGATTTGAAATATTACTTTCTACAGCTGTAAACATTTTACATAATCAAACATAAGGAATGTGTTCAATTACTTGTTATTGCTTTTCCCTCTGCCTTTTGTACACTGCAGAGAAAGGAGTATAGTAAAAGACATACATATACACCTACTGTCCTAAATGCCATCAATCACATACTGTACCATGTGATTCATGTAATGTACAATCCATTTGATAAATGATTAAATTCTCTCTTAATTTATATGCTTGTATTTTGGGTTTAGATGATCAAAATTTACTTTATCACAAAGTTCAAAGAATTGGTAAAGCTAATGCATTTGGCACACCACCAAATGCCTTTAACATATTGCATAACATTTATTTATGCCTGCCTGCTGTCTTGAACCTGTATTATTGGCTGCTTTTTCTTTTAACTTTTCTTTCATATACTTCATTTTCTGATGAGTATATCAAATGCACATAATTTTTAAAACCAATGCACATGTTAATGGATTTGTAAAATTTTTGTTATCTTGAGTGTAATGGTGTATTTTTGGTTGAGTTCTCCACAAAATGAATCAAATTCTCATCATACAGTGAGTGTACTTGAGATTTACTGCAGGACACTGGATATCCCCTACGAGAAGACCCTCAAAGACCTGCAGTCTCAACAGGCAAGCAATTAATGGAGTTGACATTCTGAACATGGTGAGGGGATTCAAAATTATTCAAAAACTCTGTGTTTACTCATAACTGCAGAACTGAATAGCTTATGCTGGAATTTCTTCCTATCCTAGAGCCTGCTGAAACCAAGGTTCCTAGATGCCTTCAGAAGCAAACAGAGGGGGAGTGAATCCCTCATCAGATGGGTGTACGAGTTGTCTCACAGCTGATAAAATTGCCAGGGTCTTCAGTTCTTCACTAGACTCACTGTGCTTGTTCTTGCTGTCTGTCAATCTGCCTGATGGTTGGAACTCAGGACATTAACAAGCTGAATATCTGCAGTCACATGATGCGCAGGTAGAAAAGAAGGGAAGCTCAGGTGCTCTCTTTATTTTCTATACTTCACAGTCTTGAGTTCAGAAAATTCTGGTTGGTGACTCAGTTCATGGCCTTACATATTTAAATGAAAAGTTATACAGACAGAAATTAATTTTTAAAAATTTTCTTAAACCAGAAATATGTGATCTCTAATTTTCCATTTACATTCTGATATTTAACATTAAAATTTATGTTGAAGTTTCTTTATTTAAAGAGTACAGATATAAATTTAAAACTATTTCTTTCAGGAAAGAAATAATAAATATTCTAAGTCCATAATTGTATCTTTCAAGAAATAATTGTGACAAATGTAATTGTTATTGTTGTGACTGTGACTTTTTACCATTAAACTTTTCTCACCTGGAGTGTTAGCGCTGAGAATAGGGGATTAAAGATTATATTAATAAAAACCTATTTTTTTTCTTTTAGTCAATCTGAATCTTTTCTCAGTAATTTCTGCTAAGTAGCAGGCTTTTCTGAATTGTTTCCTCTTAAATTGGGCAGAGCATTGGGTCTATAATTTGTATTACAAAAATTGAGTGCAGGCAATCTTGACTAACTATGAGAACAACTAACTGTCAGACTCAAAGAACTACACAAAGTTCTT